CTGCTACGTGGCTCCTGGCAGGCACCGAAAGGTGCACTGGGATGCTGCAAAGAGGGTATTGCGCTACTTGTGCAGTACATCGGGCATGGGGCTCGTGCTTGGAGGAGGGAGCTCAGTTGTTCTCACTGGGCACTCAGACGCTTCTTGGGTTGACGACCAGGCTACTCAGCGGTCGTCACAGGGTTACACCTTCAGCCTTGGCTCTGGCTCAGTTTCGTGGCGTTCTACGCGTTCGTCTTCAGTTCTCAGTTCCAGTTGTGAGGCTGAGATCTACGCCACAGCCATGGCTGCACAGGAGTTACGCTGGCTCACCTACCTACTGACCGACCTGGGAGAGCGGCCTAGTTCTCCTCCAGTGCTGTACGTCGACAACAAGGCTGCCATTGCCTTGTGTGAGGAGCACAGACTGGAGCACAGAACGAAGCACATCGCTCTCCGTTACTTCCTAGCTCGAGAGCTGCAGCAGCGCGGTCAGCTTCGTCTGCGTTACGTGGCCTCTCAGGCCAACACCGCTGATATATTCACCAAGGCACTTCAGCCTGGTGATCATCAGCGCTTCTGCACTTTGCTGGGGCTGGTGCCCACTTTTCCTCACTTGTTGTAGGCTTTGCCTGTACTGTGATTTCTATATATATACTCCTGCCTCTTTGCTCTGCTAGGTTGAGATCATCCTGCTGTTTGTGTTGCATATATGCCTCTGCATGTGAACTGGCCCTGTGGCCCTTTGCTTGTGCTCGGAATGTGTGGTGACGTTGTGATCCACCCTGAGCTTGCTTGCCTTTCTTGACTGGTCTTGTGACCCCTTGCTCTCCCCCACTTTGCCTATGGGGGTGTGTCAAACACTATATGTGTTATTGCTGTGTAGGCTATAGTGGGTTAGCCTTTAGGGGATACACAAATCTAGGGTTTGCTACTTGTACTCCAACTTTTCATAGTTCAACCAGTTCTTGTTTCTGACACGCCCACGTGAAGTCCGAGCTGCAGAAGAGACACACGTTCACAGACCTGGGTGAACTGCGCGGCTACCTTGGCTTGCAGATCACCCGGGACAGAGCACAGCGCACCATTACCCTGACTCAGTAACACATGGTGCAGCAGGTCCTTCAGCGCTTCGACTTCACGTACTCCTCGCCTCAGGCCACTCCTCTGTCTACTCGCCACTCGCTCTCAGCTCTGCCTTCGGATGAGTCCGTAGAGCCGAGTGGCCCGTATCAAGAGCTTGTGGGCTGCCTCATGTACCCTATGACCTGCACTCGACCTGACCTTGCATACCCTCTTAGCATCTTGGCACGCTATGTTGCTCCTAGGAGACACCGACCAGAGCACATGGCTGCAGCGAAGAGGGTGTTGCGCTACTTGTGCAGTACGTCGGGCATGGGGCTAGTGCTTGGAGGGCGGCGTTCAGTGGTCCTCACAGGTCACGCAAACGCTTCTTGGGCTGACGACCAGGCTACGCAGCGGTCGTCACAGGGTTACACCCTCAGCCTTGGTTCCGGCTCTGTTTCGTGGTGGTCTACCCGCTCGTCTTCTGTTCTCGGCTCCAGCTGTGAGGCTGAGATCTACGCGGGGGCCATGGCTGCACAGGAGCTACGCTGGCTCTCCTACCTGCTGACTGACCTAGGAGAGCCGCCTCGTTCTCCTCCAGTTCTGTACGTAGACAACAAGGCCATGCTGGCCTTGTGTCGGGAGCACAGACTGGAGCACAGAACGAAGCACATTGCTCGTCGCTACTTCCTTGCTCGTGAGCTGCAGCAGCGTGGTCAGCTGCGCCTTGCTTACGTGGCCTCTCAGGCCAACACTGCTGATACCTTTACCAAGGCACTTCCGCCTTGTGATCATCATCGCTTTTGTACGATGCTAGGTCTTGTGCCTACTTGGCCTCACTTGCTCACTTCTTGACCTTGCTTGTACTGTGATCTATCTATACCTGCACTTGCTTGTTTACCTTTATATATGATCTTGCATGTGAACTGGCCTTGTGGCCTTGAACTTGTGCTCGGAATGTGTGGTGACGTTGTGATCCACCCTGAGCTTGCTTTGCTTGACTGGTCTTGTGACCCCTTGTTCTCCCCCACTTTGCCTATGGGGGTGTGTCAGACTTATATGATCTAGTCTGTGTAGGCTGTAGCGGGTTAGATACTAAGGGGTACACAATTCTAGGGTTTCACATTTGTATCACTCATTCCTTAGTCCATCATTCCTCGTTCTTTCACACTCTCCACTACCTCGTCAGCACCTCAACCGTCGGTCTAACCTACCACAAGAACGGGACTACGACACCTAAACTAATCGGCTACGTCGACGCCGATCACGCCGGCGACTCCGACAACAGACGCTCACGCACCGGGTACATCTATCGCCTCGAGCCTATCGGACCTATCTCCTGGCAGTCGAGCAAGCAGGAGTTAGTCGCTCTCTCCTCAGCTGAAGCTTAATATATCGCACTCTGCTCAGCCACCAAGGAAGGACTGTACCTTCGTGAACTTCTGGAGGATGCGAAGCTGGCTCAGTTTCCCAGCTTCTCCTTGTTTTGCGACAACCAGTCGGCAATTCGCATAGCCAACAAAAACGGATTCGCGAACAGGACGAAGCATATCGCCCTGCGATATTTCTTCGTAAAGGACGAGATCGAGAAGGGGAGACTTGAGCTGTCTTACTGTCCCACGTCCGAGATGGCAGCTGATTACTTGACCAAGAAGCTCGGAAAGCAGAAGTTCGAGTACTGTATGCTGTTGACTGGACAGAGCCACGTCAGCGACACTCCAGAAGCGAAGGGGCGTGTTGGAAAAAATTGACTTAAGCGCCTCTGTCGTGTCGAAACACTAAGTCATAAGCGAAGCAGAACATATCGAAGCATCGGCGAGTCAACCCTCGGAGGTTGAGCAACTGCTGGAGGTTACGCGAAAGTCAAAGGTCATCGACCTTTGTCCTGACAAATACAGCGCGACAGCAAGGACAAACAACTGACTCGCTATTGAGCAGTTGCCCGAGTCGTCACTGTATCGAACCGCAACAACAACAGCAAAAACAGTTATTAGTTACGGTATAACCCTTCATATTCCCTTGTACCCTTATAAAGGCTTGTATTCCTTTGTTTTAATCAATCTACTTTGCCCTCACATACCAGCGCAAGGTGGTTCAAACACTCCAATAAAAGGCTTCCGCTATTACATCATCTCTACCCAGAGTTTAGTCCTGTAAAGATCCTAAGGGCTTTCTCAGCCCTACAGAGGGGGGGGGGGGGTGCGAAGGGGTAGGGTGATACTCGCTTCAGGGTAAAACTCGCTTAGAGGAACGGCAACCCTGAGGCGACAGTGTGCCTTAATCGTAAACCCTGGCACATCAGGGAAAATCAAGTTCCAAAAAAAAAAACCCTAAGGCATCAGTGTGACTACCAAAAACCACCCTGATAATCAGGGTATCATTGTCATTTACACTGATAAAATAAGCACTGGTCCGAGCGCTTGCGCGCGGGAAACGAAACTGGCGGCCTAGGCGGGGCACCGAGTTTCTGAGCCATATGGTGGGCTCTGCCGGAGGCGGCAAGTGAGTGAAATGCAGAGCATAGGCAATATTTTTTCCAGAGGGGACGGGAAGTCCGGGAGCGTTGGCGCTTGGGCAGGCATGGAAATACGGAGAAATGGCGTCTAGGAATGTCAAGTATATTCCTTAATTGTAACAAACCCAGGTAAGGAAAAACGAAAATTCTTTAGACTGCACATTATTTTTGTGGGCAATACATTATTCACAGAAAATGCATACACGTTTTTGTGTTTATGTTTTCCTGATTTTTTAACACTTGAACCAAGTATCTGTGTAGATGATTATTAAGTTTATTCGGCTTCGGAAGATTGCGGTCTGAGGAGCGCTTCAGTGGTATGGTAGGAGCGTATCAAGACTCGAAGTACTGTACGTGTCAACTGGGCGGGTTTCATTTAATCCTGGCTGGGCAGGCAGGGATGCTGCAGCACGTGAGGCCTTTCCCCCACAATCTGTAACGAGGCAGGCATGTCATCTCATCGCAGAGATCAAGCTGGTTGGGGGTTCCCCGAGCAGCCAATGGAGGAGACGCAGTCAGCCCATACGTAAACCGAGCCTCAACGGCAGCCAAGGTGCAGTTTTGTTTGGATGGCATGCCATGCATGCAGGTCGCGGACTCCTTTTGGTTGGATGACATTGCTGATCCCAATTTGATGTCGTACACACGGCGGCGACGTCCCACTGCCTTGGGCTCGGCATTACCGTGTCATGCTTCGTGCAGTGCCTCGTTCGTTTCGGCTCGGCTCGGGCGCGAAGTCCTTATGCGACGCAGCTTTGCGATACATGCCCATGCATGCTGCATGTTTCATCAGCCCATTCGACTGTATCCCAAGGCTGATGGTGGGAATGGGGATGGGAGATCGAGGGCCATGCCATGATCAAAGTTCGAATCTCCGATTCAAACATTCGAGAGCCACTTTGCCCAGATCTGCGCGCATGCGACATCTGCCCCGATCAAGCTTTCGATTGTTCGCACATTCAAACTGTCCGTCAAATTGCAAACGCAAGCCCTACCCATGCTAGTCGACTTCTGTCATCGTCATCGTTGGCCTTGGGAACTACCAGCCAGTACTACCATCCCCATCGTAGTTTTATCCAACGCTACCTTGATACCTCAAAGCAATCAGCAGTCTTGGCTTTCCAATCTTGGATGAGCTAGCTTCACCTCCTAGAGATCTACGTGCGGCAGCGCCGGTGTTGACCTCCCGCTCGTAGCTCGCATCCCCGTGCTCTCAACGACCTTCGAATTTCCTCCAGTTAGGGGTTGCCATCCCTGTTGCGTCTCTTTTCCCCAAGGCACTCCCAATCTCTTGGGACGGCCCACAAACCTCGACCCTGCAATAAGAACCAACAGCACTTGTTCTCTCGGCACCCAGGCCATCGTCATGGCGGGTGAGGTGGCAATGCGCGATGTGGCTGACGAACACACCTACGCCGTCGATTCGTCGCGCGACTGCGCGATGACCAGCGGTCCCAGCAACGAGAATCCTCGCCAGGAGCGCGAGCACTTGCTTCCGACGCAGCAGCCAGGCCAGCTGCGCGGTCGGAAGAGAGCGCCGCTGGTGGAAGTGACGAACCTGGCGGTCATGGGGGGCAGAGCACGCGCCACAGCCAAGCGCGCTGCCCTGAGGCCGCATCTCGCTGTACGTGTCTCGTCGCTCCACTCATGCGGCTCTCAGGTCGTTCCTCTAAAGGAGCGCTTTCCGTAATGCTCCCATCCCGCGACGCCTACATCACAGCTGTGCATATCAGCACACCTTCCCATTGCACTCGTACAGCCCCGCCGTTTCCCTCCACTCCGCAATCGCGCTCTGCTGCTGTTACTGTGCCCTTCGTGCTCTGATTGCTGCGGTGCCTTTTGTCATCGACGAGTGTATGGTCCGTCAAACCTAATTGCCCCGGAGGGCTCTCATAAGTTCCCGCTCGTTTAACCCCTCCGCATGCCCTCCTACTCCCCACCCACTCGCAATTAGCATTGGCTGGATGGCAATTCTCCTTGTCTCGTCTTCTCTGCGCAACGCCGTTGCATTCATTGGCAAGCCTTTCATTGATTTTCTCAGCCAAGTCGTTCCCTTTCCCACTTCCCTCGATCCACCTGCCAATTCCGCTCCTGCTTACCTTTCCACTCCGCCCGTCACCTCCCCCTTCACACTTTCGATTCTCCAGGGCTCGGCGGCGAAGCAGCGAGCAGCAGCGCTGGCAGCGGCGGCGAGGGACCGCCTGTTGGGTCGAAGGCGCTCCCTGGGGTCTTCCCCGATGTCAACCCGGCGTGCATCGCCGCGGGACAGACGGAGTCAGGCAGGACGGCAGCACCGGCTGGCGCACAAGCAGCAGGGGCAGCACAAGGCGCAGCAGCGCGTGCGGGGAAGCCGGTCACAGCAGCGGATCGAGGCGCGGCAAGGCACGTCGTCCGCGCAGCTCACCACTTCCTCGCAGCCTCTCTCGGGGGTTACCACGCTGAGGCTACCCCTTACGACGCCGTGCGACGACGACGACAAGGCGCAGCTGCCGTGCGAGTCGGTCGCAGCACTCCCAGCGATGCCGTACGAGAGAGCCGCGGGTGGCGCGAGCGAAGCGGGCGTGGCGAGCTGCAGGAGCGACAGCGAAAGCAGTAGCAGCAACGGCGGCGGTGGCGGCGGTGGCGCGTCCATCGGCCGTGTTCACGACGTCGTGGGCAGCGAGCGGGGCAGCAGCGCCCGCGCGGACGACGCCAGTCGGTCGTTCAGCGGTAGGAAGAGGCCCGCGGGGGAAGGCGCTTCACCAGCGGAGCGGGCGGCAGACGAAGCGCACATCTGCCGAGAGCGGGCGCGCGGAGAGCCGTCGTGTGTGCAGGCGGAAGCGCACATGGGCGGTAACGTTGCGAGGGGCGAGGAGGAGCGCCGTGGGGATGCGAGTCGCGGCAAGGCGATGGCCGTCGATGACGCGTTGACGATGACGAGAGGCGCGGCGTCTGCTGCGAGCCACGGCCCCTCCGACCTCACCAAGCAACCCGTGCGAGGTGCTCGGCTTGCGCGGCTGTTGGTGTGCGTGGTCGACAGATGCTCTGGGAGGGAGGGTGTGGATTGAAGGGTTGAGGGGTTGGTGCCCTGACTGACTCTCTCTCTCTCTCTCTCTCTCTCTCTCTCTCTCTCTCTCTCTCTCTCTCTCTCTTTCTCTCTTTCTCTCCCTCTGGATCTCTCTCTCTCTCGCTCCCTCTCTCTCTCTCTCTCTCTCTCTCTCTCCCTCTCAATCTCCCTCTCACTCTCTCTCTCGCTCTTCCCCTCTCCCTCCCTCTCCCGCACACTCTCTCTTTCGCCCCCCTCTCTCCCTCTCCCTCCCGTCCACTCTCTTTCTCCCGCGCCTCGTTCGTCAACTCACCCCTTCATGCGCGCCCCTTCGTCGCCACTACGCGCGCGCAGAGCCTCAAGGCGTCCGGGGGCCGTCACCGCCAGCCGATGCGCTACCCAGCACCAGCACTGCCGTCCCAGCACCCCTCCCCGCCGTTCTGCCAGGGCAAGCCGTCTCATTGCCGCAGCAGGCGAGCAGAGCGGCCCCGGGGAAAGGGGGACATCGAGGGACGACGGTGCGGGACATCGACTCGTCGTCGGATCCGCAGCTGTGCGGGCGATACGTGGCGGACATCTATGGCCACCTCCGCGCCGCCGAGGTACGCCAGTGCCGCTCGCCGTGGCGATTGCGCGTGGGCCGTGGTGTTGGGGAAGGGGGCGCGGGGAGGGAGAGGGGGGAAGGGGAAATGGTGGGATGGGAAGTAGGTGCTTGGGTGGGTGCCATGTCCCCCGTGGTACGGCGTCCACGCCCTGCTGCTGCTTCCGTGCCTCCATCGGTCTCCGTTGCCTTTCCCTTCCTGACCCCCCATCCACTCTCTCTCCCACTCTCTTCCGTTCCCCTCTCTCGCTACGTCTCCTCCTAGCTCATGCTTCCTCGTGCGTCTCTGTTTGCATTCCGCCCGATTCAAGTCTCCTTGCCTTCCTGAACCCCTATCCCATCGCCGCGCCTGTTTTTATCCCCTCATCTCGCTCCCTCCGCCCCTCCCCCGTGCCCCCACGTGCGCGCGGTGCAGCAGCGCAGCCAGCCGCGCGCGGACTACATGGAGGCGGTGCAGAAGGACGTGAACAGCGGCATGCGCACCATCCTCGTCGACTGGCTCGTTGAGGTGCGCCCGCACACGCGCAGAGGGCGAGTGGGAAGGGGAGGGGGCGTGAGAGGGGGGGGGGGTAGGGGGAGAGAGATGGAGGGCGGGGTTTAAGGGAAGGGTGCATGCATGGCTCATGCTCGTTCCACATGTGTCGTCACCAGTCCGTCTCGCCACGCGCCTATCTCTGTTGAAACCTCGCATGAACCTCCCTTAGTGCCTCGCTTCAACCCCTTGCTGTCCTCCCTTCTGCCGCTCTCCGCTCACCATCCATATCCGCTACCTTCTCTGTCCCTCTTGCCGTGCGCGCGTCCTCTCACCGGTGGGTGCGTGCATGTGTGCATGGGAGAGCAGGTGGCAGAGGAGTACAAGCTGGTACCGGATACGCTCTACCTCACGTGCGCCTACCTGGACAGCTACCTCTCCGCCCACACTGTGCCACGCAGCCAGCTGCAGCTGCTCGGCATCTCCTGCATGCTCATCGCCTCGTAAGCCTCCACGTTTGCAAGTCTCTTTTCCAGGATTCGTTGCCCGGAGGCGCCAATCACCTCATGTATCCTTGCCCATGTGTGTGCGTTGGTGCTTGGCAGCAAATTTGAGGAGATCTATGCGCCACAGGTGGACGAGTTCTGCTACATCACCGACAACACGTACACCCGCCTCGAGGTACCCACCACACTCACTCCCACACGCACTAGCCGGGTTTGCTGTGTGGTAGAAGCTGCAGACTTGCATGCGATCCCAATCGTATCTCAATCTGATCCCAGCCACTATCGCTCTCGCCCTGTCCGTGTCCGTGTCCCCGTGTATCTTCTCCGCTGCTCCGTGCAGGTGTTGCAGATGGAGAGCCGAGTGCTGAACCATCTGGCGTTCGACCTGAGCAAGCCCACCATCAAGAGCTTCCTCAGGTGACCCACCCACCCACCGACTGCAAGCAGCATTGGCATTCGTGGGGCGCATGGGCCGAGTGGGTGTGTAGGGCTTATGGGCGCGGATGACGTATGGGTGTGACTGGCATGTGGGTGTGCAGGGCGTGTGTTTGGAGAAGCGTAAGACCACCATGCTTTCTTGTGTCTTGCTGCTAGAGTGCTTCCATGGGTACCCACTTGAAACACTCGCTTCATTCTAATGCTCCCTACCCTTGCATTTTCTCCCCCTTCTTGCTTTGCATCTCTACAGGAGGTACATTCGAGTTGCCCAAGCCAGCCTCAAGGTACACATGCTCCTCTTACTTCTCTCCGCTTTCCCACCCGTTTCACGGCGTGGATAACTATGTTAAATCCAACCCCGTTGGATTCATCCCTATGGTATCTCGTCCACATTACATCTACTGCAGCTTTGGCTACTGAAATCGATCACCCACCTCCCCATCCGCCTTTCTCCGCAACCCCCATTCCGTCCAATCTATTGTGATCGCCATGCATCAGGACCCCTCGCTCAAGCTGGAGTTTCTGAGCAATTTCTTCTCGGAGCTAGCCCTCACAGACTACTCCTGCCTGCGCTTCAAGCCCTCGTGCCTTGCTGCCTCCGCCGTCCTCCTCGCCAAGCTCACTCTCTTCCCAACCCTGCCTCCCTGGGTACGCTTAACTCCCCACCCTCACCCCAGTCCCCTCCTCCCTGCTTTCTCTCTCCTTCGCTTGTCCGATTGCCCTCGCTCGAGCTCATGCTTCCTGCCTCTGCTGTCTCCTATAGTCAATGTGTCCCCTCCCCTTTCCATGCTACTGTGTGCGTGCGTCCCCCTGTTTCCCCCTGACTTCTGTAGACCGCTGCTCTGGCGGCTTGTTCGGGGTATGCGTGTGCTGACCTGCGGGAGTGTGTAGCATGCCTGCATGCACTGCATTCCTCCAACGGACGCGCACCGCCCACTGCCGTGCACCAGAAGTATTGTCAGGCCAAGGTGTGTGCCATGTGACAGGTGCTGCGTGCCGTGCGCGTGGGCTGTATGCTTTGTGACGGACAGGTTGCTTGGAGACGTTTCCTGTGGTGTTTTCTTTCATACTTGTCTGCGGCCTTTCTTCCAATTGCGAGACCTGAGCCTTGTGCCTCCCATTCCATGTCCCCTTTTATGTCCTCTCCACCTCTCATCACCTTGATCCATGTGTGCAGTTCATGGCTGTCGCCTCCATCCCCCTGCCCGCACTACCACCGGAGCCCCACTCCTCACGTCACTCCCCAGCCCACTAGCTGTTACTTGCAGTAGCAGTGTAGCAGTGGCAGCAGTAACAGTAGCCCTGTAGCCCTAGTACGGTACAAGTAGCAGCAGCAGCAGCAGCAGCAGCAGCAGCAGCAGCAGCAGCAGCAGCAGCAGCAGCAGCAGCAACCTCTGCACGCAGTGGCAGTGCTCTAGATGCATGGGAGCAGCACCCAGCAGGAGCAGGTGACTGGTAGGTCTACTGTGTGGCACTGGGGATCGAGTAGGCAAGTGGCGGCATCAGCGGTGACTTGCAGCAAGCTACCATTGGCTGAGTCGTGCGGCTGCTGCTCTATGTATTGATGATTGCCTAGGGAGTGCGCAAGCATTCAGTTTGGTGGGATTTTTTTTTCGGACATTTTAGGTGTTATTATTGTTTTTTGGAGTGCATCTCAACTATTCAATGGTTATTGATGGTACCATACCGTATTGACCCGACTAATAGATCCCCCGAAATTATTGACCCCTAGGTCGTTATTTGGGGCGGGTTTAATGCTATCTCCACTTTCGTAATAAACCCTATTCTTTGTAATGAATCTGCATTAGACCCCCGTTTGTGTAAGCACTCTAGTATCGAGCTGAGCAATAGGAAGGTCGAAGTCGGGGTACCGGTACTTGAAATTTCTGGCTGACATCAGCGAACTTGACCACACGCAGGTTTTGCGCCAGCGCAAGGTTGAAATTCGCCCCTGACGCGATACTGGAAATGAGCAATCACGCTGTAACACTAGATTTCTGCATGGTTTATGTTACGATATGGAATAGTTGAATAAACATTCCAAAAGTGACGAATCCTTAACGCGAAGATGACTGCAGCGAGGACGAAGACTGTAAGGAAAATCCCTTTTCCTTACTGGGGTTTACTCAACTGCGTACAACCCCGACTTTCGGAAGTGCACGTTCGACCGATTTACTTGCTGCCGAAGCAACCCCGCGTCGCCTTCGACTTTCCTTTGCCCAACCTGCACCCAACGTCGTGTTCCCGAGGTTCCTGTCCAGGACTAATTTTTTGTTTTTAGCAACCCTTATCATCAGTCCTGCATCTTTGCAAAACCCTGATTATCAATGTGACCCCTTGGGAAAATTCTTATCCATCAGGGTTTTCCACAGTTTCGAAAAAAATACCCTTAGGCCACAGTGAAACAATTTTCAGAACCCTGATGAAATGTTTCTACTGAAGTTCTGAACAAGAACACGGGACATACCGGATTCGATCCCGAGTATTCTTACTTCCGAAGACCAATCTACTGACTGAGCCGCTTAATGCAAGGGTGCACTATGGGGGGGGTGCAGGCAAAGGTTTATCACTTGCCTCCACGTGGTTACCCTATTTGTGTTGGGAGCAGGGCTAATCTTTGGTTTTAGCCAACCCTTACGATCAGTGTTGCACATCATCAAAATCCTGATTATCAGAGTATCCCTCAGTGAAAATCCTGATCTGTCAGGGTTTTTGCAGATCCAGAAAATTATACCCTGGGTCATCAGTGTAACAATTTTTCAAGGCCAATGGTGGCCCACTTCGTACCAGCACACGTAATGTCGTGCCGAAATTTACAGTTACGACAGTTGGCAAAGGGGATTCCCAGGTTACTGGGTATGGGGGTTAGGGGAAGGTTGGGGGGGGGTCGGGGGTTGGCTGGAAGTCGCTTCAGGGTAAAACTCGATAAGAGGATCGGCAACCCCGAGGCGACAGTGTAGCACAATTGTAAACCCTGGCACATCAGGGTAAATGAAGGTCCTAAAAAAATTACCCTACCGCATCAGTGTCACTACCTAAAAACCACCCTGTTCATCAGGGCATCAGGGTGATTTACCCTGATAAAATAGGCCCTGGTTGGGAGTCCGAGCGAACCCCCCTTTTAGTGTAGGCGGACTTGCGCGGGTTGTCTCTCCCCCGTCGTCAATTGCGACGGGCCAGCTCAGAGTTGGGAACTTGGAGTCACCCCCGGCAGTTTCTGAACCATGACGCGCATGACGTACCACAACACACACATTCTCCACTTGGTCGTTCTGACGATAAACTAGACAGCAAGAGGATCGTCATAACGAGCTACTGCGCCCGCCCATCGCTTTCATCGCGCCCAAATACCGTTCATCTCGCTCGCACTTAGGCGCTTCCGCTTGTCATACTGTCAAACACTAAATGTGTTGTTGTTGTGTAGGCTATAGTGGGTTAGCCTTTAGGGGGTACAAAAAACTAGGGTTTGCTACTTGTACTCCAACTTTTCATAGTTCACACACTTCTCATTCTGACATGGTTTCAGAGCTTAGGTTCTAGACCTAGGACTCACCTAAGGGCCCACCGTTAGAAGCGCCCTCGAGCGCCCCATCGTCCTAGCGCCCTCGAGCGCCGTTCCCCTAGTGCGCCCTCGTGCGCCTCGTCTTCTCCTGCTGCCTGTGCGCGGCTCGCTAGTGCCGCGCGCGGCCCTTTTTTTCCCGCGCGTCGCCCCCTAGCAGCCCGCGCGCGGCCGTTTCTGAGCGCGCGCCGCCCGTTAGCCGCCCACGCCGCCACGAGCAGCCCGACGACCGGCCCCCCCTAGCCGCGCGCCGCCCGTGAGCCACCCGTAGGCCGCCGCGGCGCCCTCCCTAGGCCACCCGCCCGCTAGTAAGGCCCACGAGCGGCCACGGCCCGCCCGCTACAGCCGCCCACGCACACGTCCCCCAGGCGCGCACCGCCGCGTAGCCCAGACCGAGCCGAGCCGCACAGCCCGAACCGAGCCGCGCCGCCCGAACCGAGCCGCGCCGCCCGAACCGAGCCGCGCCGCCCTACTGTGCCCCACCTGCAGCAACTCCTGTTCCTGTTCCTACTGTACTACTGCTACTGTTCCTACTGCCACAATGGCCACCCCATCCATTCTCACCTTTGACGCTGAGGGTCGCCCGATTAAGTTTGAGGTGTGGCTAGATGATCTTCACCTGTTCCTTCAGATCACTGCCAAGGACGATGTCTCACTGTATGACCATACGTCAGACGCTGCTCCCGCACCTCCCGCTACTGCTGACAGCACTGCTCGCTCCCAGTGGCAGACCCGTGATGCACACGCTCGCCTAGCCGTTCGCAGTCACCTACCGTTAGATGAGCGCGGGCATTTCGGACAGCATAAGACCGCCAAGGAGCTGTACGACGCAGTAGTCGCGCGCTACTCCTCCCCTGCCACAGCTGCCATAGGCCGTCTCTCACTGCCCTACCTCTTCCCCGACCTGTCCGCCTTTGCCACTGTAGCTGACCTCATCACCCACCTCCGTACCAGTGACCTCCGCTACCGTGCAGCGCTCCCCCCCGATTTCCTCGCCAAGAACCCCCCCCCCCCGATGTACCTCACACTGTACCACCTTGTCACCCGCCTCCCTGACTCCCTTCCCACTGACCTCACTGTCGACCTCCTCGAGAAGGAGCTCCTAGCAGCTGAGAAGAGCATTGTCGCTGTAGGTGCCTCTCGTGGTGACCCCCGCACCCCCTTCTTTGAGGGGTGCTCCCCCTCCCCCCTCCTCCCCTCCATTGCATCTGCTGCTGCTGTCGACTACCTCGGAGCTGAGAGGGTCGGGGCCGCGTCTGCTCCTAGTGGGAGACGCAAGGGCGGCAGGGGCAAGGGGGGCAGGGGTGGTGGAGGTGGAGGAGGGGGCGGCGGCGGTGGAGGAGGTGGGGGGGGCGGGGGTGGTGGCGGGAGTGGGAGTGGCGCGGGTGGTGGGGGGGTCAGTGGCGGCACAGGGGGTGGTGGCGGCGGCGACGGTGGTGGGGGTGGTGGAGGTGGTGCTGGCAGTGGTGGCGGCGGTGGAGCGGGTGGCGGGCGCGGTGGAGCGGTGCAGCATGGGGGGTTTGGCGGTGGCCAGAGGCAGCAGCAGCAGCGCCCCGGCGAGGCTCCCTCGCCCCAGCAGCTCCGTGAGTGGTACTCTCAGCGTGGGGGGTCTGAGGGAGGGGGTACTTGCCCGTATGTCATCCGCACAGGTGACCGCACTGGCCAGACTTGTGGGAGGTTTCACACTGCGCAGCGCTGTTTCTTTCGCCTCGACGACGCCTGGCGCGAGCAGTTTCCTGACGCCTCTGAGCTGCCCCGCTGGGCTGATCTGCTTAAGAAGGGGATTGATATCTTTGCTCTTGATTATGATGCTATTCTTGCTGCTATGTATGCATTGACTATTAGTGTTGAGGGTGACTGTTACCTGAGTGTTACGCCTGACCCGGGCATTGGGACCAGTGAGGCTGCAGCTCTAGGTGCTAGCGCGTCTGCTGCTCTAGGTCCTGGTGAGGCTGCTGCCCTAGGTGCTAGTGCGTCTACGTCTGCTGGTGCCGCACCTACTGAGGCACTGCACACCTTCACACTGGACTCAGGTGCTTCCCGCTGTTTCTTTTGTGACCGCACTGCCCTAGAGCAGCTTCCTCGACCGGTTGCTGTCTCGCTGGCTGACCCCTCAGGGGGTCCGGTCCTTGCGACCTCCACCACTGCCCTCCCTTGTCCTGCTGTCCCGTCTGGCACGCTGTCGGGCCTCTACCTCCCCTCGTTCTCTACGAACTTGGTGGTGGGTTCTGCACCCCAGGACGCGGGTGTTCACCAGTTCACCCCGGCCTACGAGCGTGTGACGCACTGCACGTGTGCGCGGACGGGACGTCACCTAGCTACCTTCACTCGGCAGCCGGGGTCGGACTTGTACACACTGACCACTGAGTCTCCTCAGGTAGCTGCGTCTGCGTCTGCGTCAGGTCAGCTGTCGGCCCCCTGCTCGTGTCGCTCCCTGTCACACAGGACTGTCCTCTGGCACCACCGCCTTGGTCACCCGTCAGTGCAGCGCCTTCGCGGCATGCACTCCAGGTACCTTGTCTCTGGTCTTCCCAGGGTTCTCCCTCCCCTCCCACCCTCGCCTGCTCCTCCTTGTCTTCCCTGTGTCGAGGGGCGGCAGCGCGCCGCTCCTCACTCCTCCTCGTTCCCTCCCACAGAGGCTCCCCTGCAGACTCTCCACCTGGACGTGTGGGGCCCCGCCCGCGTCCAGGGACAGG